CAGGAGGGGTCTGCGCGCCATGTGGGACCCTCCTCCGGTGGCCGGGGAGCAGCCGGGGATCGAACCGGCGCCGCGGAGGCTGCGGGCAGCTTCGCAACCCAGCGCTCAACCGCTGCGCCACCGGGGAGGCCCTACTCAGGTTTTTCTCTCCAACTAAAACAAAGGCTTCTAAAAGAGGAGAATCTGCGTCTAAAATTGTCTTGCTTTGTAAGGACTGGTCTCAGGGTTCCATAAAAATGTGTTGAATAAGAGTCAGTGCAGCCAGGCATTAACTTACAATGACTAATGTTAATTCAGAGATACCCAATAAAGCCATTGTTTTCTTTACCAAAATCCAGTAGGATTTTCATTGAAGAGAACAAAAAAAAAAAAAAAAAAAGCTACGTTTGGCCTAAAAAGTAATGTTTAAAAGAGATACTGTGATAAGGGACTTTTACTTACAAAAACACTCTTATGCTATAATATTTATTTATTTAGCAATTGCACAATCTTAGAAAAATTGAGAATGATAACGGAGGAACTCTGAAAGAATCACGGTAGAATTAAAAAAGTGGCTTAAGTAACTTAAAAGTATTTTTCTAGTTTTGATATGCATTCTCAAAAAAAGTAACTCAGTCAGCCCTGGAATTAAACTAACCACACAGGAACTTACATAAACTATCCATCATTTTAAGTGTGACAATAAACAATCTACACATACAAAAATCCAGCATACCCGAGTACCAGACAATTTATAGGGCTTGAAACCATGTAGTGAGACAAAAATTCTAACTTTATAACCTTGCTCTCCTATTTTCAGAGAGAAACACACACACATAAATAAAACCAAGGAAATAAATGACTGCATGTGGGGAACGCTCCATTTATAAACAAACTATTTTATCTTCTATTAAACAAAGTGCTTAAGATTCAAACTGTATTGTCATGTATTTGTAAAACTAAGTATCTCCTGTAAATCAATGTGTCTTTACAAAAGAGCTGAAATTACCTTGACCATTGCTCTACAAGGTCAAGAAACTAGTGAAAATAGCTTAAAGAACAAAAATTGTATGCAGTAACACTGGGTAACATCTGGGTAGTAACGAACTTCAAAGCACTACACACTTGGCAAGAGGTGGAAATCCATGTTTCCAAGTATCTGCCATGATACACTGATTCTCTGGTTTATTTCAAATTGTTCCTTTGAAAGCAACTTGAAGTAGTTAAGCAAAAAGCAATTCCTCTATTCTGAAAAATTCATATTCTATTTCCTCCACTGATGGTCATCGTAAAGAAGTTTAAACAACTTTGATTCCCAGCTAATAACATGCAGAGAGCAGATACACACACGAGTCCCATTTATATAAAAATGGCAAAGAAAACTACGGTTTCCTGGTTTCCTCCTCAGTGCTCCCCGCCCACCACCTTGATTCCGCAAACGGAAGAATAAATTAAAGCTCCTTTCTTCTCCATCAACTCCTTTGTCCTCTGAAGGTTGCCTAATCATATTCCTCTCTCAAAATGAAGTAAGAAACATTTCAAAAGCTGTATTCACATTAAATCAACTTTCTGATTCGTGCATTGCAGGAATAAAGCAATGTAATCACATCTTAAATTGGTTTACAGCAGGCTGTCTACCTTATCCCAGGTCTCAGGATTGATGAAATGAATAGTTTTAAAATAGCACTTTTTGAAATGACACGAGAATTAATAGTGCATAATTATCTCAGTGTTGACAAGTGAGAGATGTTTAACTCCTTAAATGAGCTTTCCTAATGAATCAGTGTCAGAGAAAGGCTTCATTGCCTGCACATTGTTGATTGAGATCTGAGGTGCCTGACTTAACCACAAAAGCACACCAAAAGCCAATGTGTTGAATTCTTCAGGTAAAAATTAAATGACCCCACTTTGACTTAATATTCGAAATAGTAAATGAAGATTTTTCTCTGGGTTTCAATAGTTGCATTCCTGGGGAAAAGCTTATTTTATCTGTCTAAGAAATACTCCACCTTTTCCATGCAGTTTCAACAAAACAGACTCTAGGATTAGAATCCCTGTTACCGAAAAGGAAAGAGGAAATCACTGAATTTGAAAAGCAGTATGGAGAGCATTTTCCTGACATTGTCTTTAAGGATTCTTATGAAAGACAAGTGCGATCGAATGAAATGAATCTCCAAGATTAAAAAAAAATAATAACTTTTTAAAATGTAAAAAATGGTATCTTTCCTACGTTAAGCTTTAACATTTTATATTCATCCCTAGTTTCCAACTCACGTTAATGAACTCATAACGACATGGCTCAATTCTGTGCTGGGAATTCTGTGGGTACAGCTAAAACATTCATATTTCTAAGTACCCGGAAAAGAGAAAACCAGTGTGCCGCCCGGGAGAGCTGCGCCAGGAGACACAGCCCCGGCCACTCGCCCGTCTCCCCAGGGCTCCCCGGTGCCCGCGTGGGCACCGGGCTGAGACTTCAGGCCTGGCCCTCGAGGCCTCCCGGGAGGACAGCGGTAGGTGCACTCTGACAGCGGCAGGATGGTAACGGGCGGAGCCGGGCGCGTGCCAAGACAACAGCAGGCAGCCTCCACACACGCTGGGGTGGCAAATATTTCCCCTTGGGACCATCTTTGTCACAAAACACGGAAGGTCAGGTTCAGCCCTCCCTCCCTCGGGGCGGTGCATGGACAGCAGCACGCCGGGGTGCTGGGCCCGCGGGGAACCCTCACACAGTGGCCACTGCAGGCCACTGGCAGTGCCGGATGAAAAGCGGCTGCTTTGCAGTGCAGCCCCTTCTTTAAGAGACTGTAGGGTGAGGTAAAAGTGTCAGGCTTTTCTGCCCTCCCACTGTTAGGATAGATGAGGGAACCCTGCGGTCCCGAATGCAAGCCTGAGGGCGGCACCTGGAGCGTGGTGTGGGCGGGCGTGAGCCGGCACACCTGAGTCTGCAGGCCGGGCGTGAGCGGGCACACCTGAGTCTGCAGGCCAAGGCTGGAAGGGCGGCGTCACAGGGAGGACAGTGTGCGGTGGAGAGCGGCAGAGGATGCTAGGAGGGGACCAATATGGGCGCGGGAGAAAGGGCCACAAGAGAAAGGCAGCAAGAGGCCGAAGGGGAAGCTACAGATTCGTCAGGGGCTGGGAGACCTTAGGATGTTCTGGGAGAGATGCCTTCTGAGTCTCAGCATGCAGCTTACACATGACGTCTTAAAGCATAATCAGCAAAGAAGACATTGTAATCAATGCTATATTTTCTAAATATTTGTGAATAAATACAAACGTGTCCCAAATAGAAAAAGAAGAAACACAAAGACTGAGTTCCTCACCTGCGAACGGTGGGTGACGCGCGTGTTTCTGAAGAACGCTACGTCACCCACGGTGCAGGAGGGCTGGGAGGTGCCAGCACAGCAGGTGCTCAATGCTGTGACATTTGCATTGTGAAACAACAAAACATTTTCATATTTTATTTATATTGTAAAAAGCTATAAGAGAAACGGTATTCTGCTTAAGCGGTTTTAAACTACATCCAATAATTTTACTGCCTTTACCAAATGTGGAGAGATTTACATGGGAAAATAACTTACAGAGAAATACAGAGTTTCAAAGGTGAGAACGTATCTCTTAGCTTTTAGGTAATATTCTCCTGTAATTTTGATATTTTTGCACAAGAAGTGAAGAATATTAAAATAAAAAAAGACATCAGTAACAAAGTTCTAGAAACTGGCTCGTCAGCCTCTCACGTCCAGGACGGGAACTGTTCTCACCCAGCAGCTGCCCCTGTGCGCGGCCAGGGTGTCTGCAGCCTGGCCTGGACGGGGCGGGGGCTGCAGCAGCAGGACAGGCTAGCAGCGGGGAAGCTTCTCAGAAGGCCCTTCCCAAGCTCAGCCCCTCAAGGAGTGCCCCTGAAGAGCTCCTCTCCTCCCTCAAAGGAACGAGGTCTTAAAATGGCTACGAGATGCCGCTGCAACCTCAGCTGCCCGCATAACCTCTCAGAGGAAGACGCCGCCTGCAGAGCCAGTCCCAACGCTCGGCGCCTGAAATCCCACTCTCCTCATCACGAGTGCCCCGCGTCAGGGGGAGCCTGGTAATAATTCTTTAAGGAGACATGTTCCTAAGTGTAAAATCCAGATAGCCTATCTCCGAACTGACATTTAGCGAGAATTATCAGGCCTCTGGCGACAAGGAACTGGCTTCTTAGAACTCTTCCTCAAAATAATGAGATTTGGGGAACAGCTGTCAGTCATGGAGAGACATCATCAAACACTATAGGATGACCTTTTGAAACCTGGTGCCCAAAGAAAATTAGAAATTAAAATAATACATTTAACAACATCACATTGTAAGTCCTTATCAGCTCTGAGACATGGAAAGAATCAAATTATTTTCCTGGCCAGGGAAAACGCAGAATCCATTTTTAAGTTCCAACTCTGCAGCCCTCACTAGCCCTGTCGGAAGGTAATTATCGGGGCCACAGGGATAGTCCCTGCTGCTTCTCAGAAGTAAAAGCAGAGAGCTAAATGAAGGCACTTAGAGGCAAGCTCGCAGGCTGTGCGGCGCGGAGCTGTTGGACTCCCGCAGATTCTAGAGCAGCGCGCTAAACACTTGTATTTATTCCGAGAGCAGGGATAGCGCAGGGCAGCAGAAACACAGCGTTCTCAACCATCCCCTCCAGCTCCCGCGAATCAATGGGAGTCACACAGCTAACAATCTCACGGGCTGGTCTGAAAATGCAAGTTTTTTGTTATATTTTTTTTTAGAAAGCAAACTTTTTTTTTCTTTTTTAAGATTTATTTATTTATTTATTTATACAAGCACTGGGTACAGTCAGAAGCGCGGGAGGGTGAGAGAATTCACCAGAGCCAGAGCGGGGAGCAGAGCAGGCAGAAGGACCGAAGGACACTGCTGAGGGGAGCAGCGGGCGGCAGGAGAGGTCTGCACGCCATGTGGGACCCTCGCCCAGCAGCCGAGGATCGAACCTGTGCTGCAGAGGCTGCAGGCAGCTTCGCAACCCAGCGCTCAACCGCTGCGCCACCAGGGAGGCCCTGGAAATGCAAGTTTTAATGCTATTTTGCTGTAGTGTTCTTGACTGCAAGGTGATTATTACAGTTTCCACTCTACCTGTATGTTAAAAAAAAAAAAATCACAGTAGGAACGTTGCCATTGTGAGAAAGAAGGACATAAAATGCAAGCAATGAATTAAAGAGGCAAATGAAGGCACATCTCTTCCTTTATTAGAAATAGAAGAAACAGATTGTGCTCATCTTGCTTGGGGCCAGCACCGCGCCGCGTGGAATTCAGCCAGCTTCAGTCACAAAGCTCACTTCGGAGTTTTGCTCTGTGAAAGGAGGAGCCAGATGGGCTATTTACTTTCAACAAGATAATTCTGGAAGAAATTGTTATAAGTCAAAGAAACTTTTTAGCTTCATGTGCTATTTTAGCCTCTAAACTGATTCAGAGGAGCAAGCGGAGAAGGTTATGGGGACCCGGAAAGAGAACTGGGGAATTAAGGAAGCAGAGGGGGAGCTTGGGTGGCGCATCGCCCACAGGCACACGTTCCCGGGTCACAACACCCGGGCTCACTGCCTTGCTCTTGACCTTGGACAACTGACCCGGCCCCTCGGAGCTTCAGCTGCTCCTGGGATCGCCCATGGGTAAGAGGCTGTGACGACCGACTGGCACGACCCAGACACAGCACCCCTGGGCACAGCATGCACCGGCTGGGCATTGTCTCCACCACATCCTTCTCTCTTCTACTTGCAAATGTAAAAGGAATCTCCCCTCTCTGAGAAGCCATATTCTACAGAAACAATTCTTAACATAGTAAAAGCCAAATGAAAGAGTAAAATAACACTGGCCAAGAGAAAGAGTAAAATAACACAATACTTTTACCCTCGAATCAAGAATTCAGAGATTTTCTACATAAAATTTACTTCCTTGGGAGGAAAAGCAGCGATGCAGTGAACATAGAACAGTTCGTTGTGAGTTAACTTCTCATAAATATGAGAGAGGCTTCCTAAGTCAGAAAGCAGTTTCCCCATCTGAGCGTCATCAGGGCTGTCCGGAGAGCCGCTGGCCTCCGAGCCCTAACACACAGGCTCGGAGGGGGCCCAGCAGCCTCACACTGGGGGACATCCAACACGTAACCACTAGAGAAGGACCCACCAGGCACCCAAGTGAACTGGCTTTTCTTTGACCTTTTTAATTTTGTTCAATGACACTGACAGCCCTAAGGGGTAAAAGGCCTCTCAGGACCCGAAACACAATTGCGTTCTGTCCACTTTGCTCACAATGGCAGGACATGGACGTGCACTTTTAGAAAGATTATCTAAACCAAAGGAGTAAAATGAAAAGATTCTAGTTCTACTAATTACCTCTGGGATGACTGTAAGAAAATCAGAGTCTACTTCAGTGTCGTACTGAAGAAAGGGCATCATCATTTTTTTGTAATGCGCTCTCTTTCTGAAGAGAAAAATATCCCAAAGTTATGATCGATTTAATTTTCAAAATTTATTTATGGGCTTAGAGAAGACCATAAATTTAATTATGGGCTTAGATAAGACCAAATAGCATATTTTAAAATTATCTAGGGGCCTCCCCTGGTGGTGCAGTGGTTGAGCGCTGGGCTGCAAAGCTGCCCGCAGCTTCTGCAGCACCAGTTCCATCTCCGGCCCCCAGGGTGAGGGTCCCACACGGCGCGCAGACATCTCCTGCCGCCCGCTGCTCCCCTCAGCAGTGTACATCGTCCGTCTGCCTGTTCTGCTCCCCGCTCTGGCTCTGGTGAATTCTCTCACCCTCCCGCGCTTCTGACTGTACCCAGTGCTTGTATAAATAAATAAATAATCTTTAAAAAATAAATAAATAAAATTATTTAGGAAATCTAAAAAGAATTGTCACTACATTTGATGATTTAACATTGGCAGAGTCTCAATCCATTCATGCCCCAAGAAAAGTGTTTCTGGTAAGAATATTTCAAAACAGTATGAAAAACATGTACATATATCTATGCCAGAAACATAGATTTTATGCCCCATTAAGATCAGCAAATTAACTGAGAAGAGTCTGCAAGAAGGTAAATGAAATGCAAATCATGTATTTGATTTAATTATCACCTATAAAGCTAATATAAAATAGAATTTCCCTAAGTACTAGTGAAAGCAAATAGCAGAGCAAGACAATTTTGCATTTTCAACAAATTGGCAGAAGAGCAGATTCCCTTCGAAACAACCCAACAGGACATTTGTGACACTGATTCTAAACAGCGATAAAATATTAAATAAAACATAAAACTGTCATCTTTCTCTTCCACACCCAGGATGTCCCCCCACTTAGAAAATACCTATTATTTCACAAACCCAAAGGCCAATACTCTATTACTATTCCGTTTCAGCCCCGGGCCCGACTCCATACTGGCAGCATTGGCTCCAATCAAGCCTTGTGAGGACAGCTGCCCGCCCGCGCGCCCTCTCGCTTGTCTCCCCGGCTGTGCCAGGACTGCAAGGGCACGCTGCCCCTTCACGTAAGCCATGGGTCAGGCTGCTTTGGCAGATGACAGATAAGACTACCTCTCCCGGGCAAAGAGCAGGCGTGGCCGGCTCCTGCTATAAAAGCAGTGAGCCCCTGGCTCGCGTTCCCAGCTCCACGGAGTCACTACAGCCATCTGGGCCGCGGATCTGGGGGAAGGCGGCCACGATCAAGATGCTCTGATCCCGCCGCCGTGGGCACCGACATCTTTAGTCTCTGAGCTGGATCCTCAAGCCTCCCCGGCCACCAGGAAAGAGCGCTGGGAAATGCGGAGTCACTAAGTAGGGCAAAACCAAAGCTGAGCCCCGGCAGTTCGGGCCAAGGAGGACAGGCTCGCTAAGCGGAGGGGAGAGAGCCCTGGAATTCTGAGGGAGCGCTTTCACCCGAGTGAAAGGCGGGGTAAATGAGGTTCCCGACTACCATGTTGGGGAGCAGGCTGAGGGCAGAGGCAGGACTGCAGGAGCCACGCCACTGCTACCGTGGGGGTGCTCACCCGCTCCCTCCCCTCCGCTAATGACACCCCGGTGGGAGTAAACCGTGGGTGCTGATCACTCTGGGTCACTGATGGAGATGACACGGCAAAGGCCCACAGGCTGCTGTTCCAGTCTGTGCTGACCGGTTGGGGTCCGCCCTCCCCCAGACAGGGCAGCACACCCGCCATCAGACGGGCACGGGGAGGTCACCCCATGCATCGGACTCCCGCTACCGCCCAGAGCCACCGGTTGTCTCACGGTGAAGGAGGTTGGGGGTGTCCTGGCCACTCCTCGTAGCGGGGCTACATCAAAGCTTCGATTCATTTGGGATAAGTCTAGTGCTCTGCCTTCCCCAATCAGCTGACTCTGGCTCATCATCATGGCTCGTTGCCGTCATGCCTTCAGCTCCCCACACTCTTTGCTCTGGCAACGGTGTTTCTTCTCCCATAAAGAGCATACCGTGACCAGTGGTGCTGGCAGTGTGGAGAGGTAAAATAGGCTTCAAACATCTACTCGAAGATATGTCTGACCCTCTCACCAGCTCCCGGTCTGCACGCCTCAGGAGGGCAGCGTGGTCACTGGATGCAGCTATTCCCAGAAAGGGTGGAGATTAACTGAAATTTTGCCCTCACCTTCCCCAGGTATGGGTGTTTTCTATCCCTTGGCAGGGACCCTGGTCCAGGACAGCGGACACACTCTCCAAGTGGACAGTGATCCAAAGGGGCCCTAGAGGACTCGGACACCATTCAGTTCAGTTACCAGCTATTGGGTTGGACTGAACGTGGTCTTAGACCACAGATAATGGTCACTTGGCCCACAGCGTTGAGGATGTCACTCACTGGGCCCCTCCACATTGGCCAAAGTGGTGGACAGAATGACGGCAAATTCTGTAAAAAATCCCCTATCCCACTTGCTCCTGACCTTCCCGGACAAAAGGTCTCCATACGAGGGAGGGTGACTGGAGAAAAGATAACATAGAGCAGCTGGAAGGCTCACAGCTACCTCGAGGCGGTGGGTAGACCAATTTCAAATGAGGCAACTGGCAGGGGTCACCTCAAGCCCGGGAGGGATGGGACTCTGACCCACGTGCTCTTAGCCCCTATGCTGAGCTCATCCTGGCATGATGGCCACACGATCCAGGCAAGTCAAGCAGCCGTAGCAGCTGGCAGCCCGACTCCCCGGCCTGCTTCTGGTCCCGCCAACCTCATCCATGGACTAGGGAAAAAGAAAAGTCCTAGGAGCATGCCCGGTCCTCAACTGTCCATGGGCCTGCTTCCGTCACAGCAGCTGCAAAACACAGAACGCCCCTCGCCCCCGTGAAAACGCCCAGCCTGGCCAGACTTAGCTAGCCTGACTACTCCAGGCTGGTCCCGAGCCCGCAGCAACGTGGGCCGTGCCATAGACAGCAACTGAGGCCGCAGCTGCTCAGGATACACCCGCTACGGCTCATGGAACCAGTGCAAAGGCGACCCTCATCCAGCAGGAGTGGCCCAGGGGTGGCGCCCACTCGCCCTGTGTCACTGGCAATGCCATTCTGAACATCCTTGCATGAGTCGAAATGACAGCAGACTTGACTTAGATTGCCCAAATGACGCCCTACTGGCCTCCCCCAGGGATTTACTCCAAGTAGGTGGAGTCAGAGACCTGGGGGGCGGGAGTGCCTGTGGCTGGAGTCAGCACTGGAGGCGGGCCTGGCCCTGTTGCTGCATGGGAGCCCCCGACCACAGCTTGAATAAACGGTTCATGACATGGGCTGCATAGACATGGACCTAGGCCCTGTTGGTCCAGTGAATCAGAGTGATCCCCTCCTGGCATATGTGTGTGAAACTTATCACAAGCCAAGATGGTAGAGTGAAAACTGCTGGTTGTTCCTAAGGACCCACTGATGAGGCCTGGATGAAGAAGAGATGCTATTCAGCCATAAGGAAGCACAAAATGTTCCAATTTAGAGCAACATGGAAGAAGGTTGAGAGAACTGTGTGCACTAAATCCAGTCCAAATGACAAAGTAACTATTGGATGTTCACAAGGCAGATCACTGGAGAAAGAAACGGCGCATAAAAATCAGCAGACACTAATAAGTGAAGTTTCTGAGACTAAGTTTCTGACACAAGGGAAGGTGAAGGGTGGAGGAGCCTGGTTTTACTGCAGAGTTTTCTTTGGGTCCTGTCCACCCCTCACAGGCCCTGCTGAGGGACCGGGGGCACATGGGCCTGACTTCCCTTTCACCTGAGCCATTCTCAGGGTGACTTATGCATCGGATGGCCTTGAGAAATGAGGTAATGATTATCCCACAGAAAAGAGACTTGCACACTGCTTACTAGAACGTGGTAGGTTTGTGACACACGATAAACAGCCCTCTCCACAACGCAAACACGCACGACACAGCATCCATCTGGGGCACGTTGCATCAGCCCTGTGGCATGTGGGCAAAGAAACTGGCATAGGCAGGATCACACTTGTGCAATCTGCTGTCATGAGTACTGAGACCTCTGTCCCTGCCCCAAGTCTCATGTCGTCTGCCAGCTCCCATGATACATTAACGGGCTACGTTACTATTCTGTAAGTAGAATAAAAATAACTTCATCCTCATACCTCCCGTGACACTCTGGTGTAAGCCACGAGGATGCATTCACTGGCGCACCATCACTACGCTAGGGCATCCTAAAGATCTCCGGGTCGACGCTTGGGAGAAAGCTGTGAAAAATCATCAACTGGGTAATGAAAAGCCAGGACCCCTCCCTGTCTCCTAGAACCTAAAACTACAGGGTGCCCTACTCCGTCTCCCCGTGCACGGAATTCTCCCCCCAGCGCCAGGCCCCTGTGAAGGGACAGCCACTGCCATTTCACTACACTGCTATGTGGGGAAATATATTAAGTATATGAGCTAACGTCATGTTCCAGTTTGGGGGGCAGGGTGAGTTGGGTTGTGGCCGAGACAGGATGGAAGTGAACAGGAGTGTGACCAGCCATGGGTGATATATTTTTTAATTCCATGCCTGATTTTCAAAAGCACCGTCAATCAATCATCAACCAAACAACCAAACAAGTCTACACTCTTGGAGGCAGAAAAAAATCACTAGGAGACTATTACTTATTGTTAGGTCTCTGGCAAAGCAAGAAAAGGGTGCAAGACTTAAGGAATAAAGAAAGTTGAGAAAGATCATTTATTTTCTGTTGTCAAGAAAATCCTACAAAAGCAAAGTGTTTAGGGTTCAAAATTCATCTTAAGGAATATAAAAAGATTTAAATGTCACAAAGTACCATGTGTATGACCCACTAGAAAAGATTTTTATATGAGCTACTGTTTATTCACTATTAAAAATAAAAAGGTGGGGGGGCCTCCCCAGTGGCACAGTGGGTTGAGCGCGGCACTGTGAAGCTGTCCTCAGCCTCTGCAGTGTGGGTTCGATCGCCAGCCAAAGAGGGAGATACCCACATGGCATGACAGACCTCTGCTGCCTCGCCCGCTGCTCCCCTCAGCAGTGTACTTTGGTCCTTCTGCCTGTTCTGCTCCCCGCTCTGGCTCTGGTGAATTCTCTTACCCTCCCACGCCTCTGGCCTGTACCCCCGTTCTTGTATAAATAAATAAATCTTAAAAAAATTTAAAAAAGAATGTAAGAGGATGGAATAACAATTTATAAGCAGCATTATAGGAGTCAACATTAAACTACTGCGAGTTATGTCCAGACTTCTAGCTGAGTATCAAATGTGATCAGTAAATAGTCTAGATTTACTGCTTTGCAATGTATGTGATTAAAACAAGCTACGTTAAAAAAACAGGAAATTTCACATTGCTTCAGATAGGAATTTCATATTCACTTGTCTCTATAATTCATTAAAAATAAAAATAAATTGGTTTTTGAGCACAACCGCAGACATGGACTTGATGGATGACTCTGTCTCCGCCCCCTGCGAGCCACCAGAAGGGCAGGGATGTTTATTCATCAAGTTCTCTCTGCGTCCTCAGGTAAGCGGTGCTGCTGGCGTGTCCTGTTATTTAATTACGTGGAGGCAGAACAAACGGCTGATGCAAAGACTCTGCTGGAGCTGGTCGTGCTGACTGAAAATTGTCACAAATACTTCAAAACTACCCATATATTTTTTTAAGAAAGGCATGAGAGTTTAGGCCTCGCTCACAAATATGTGAAGGAACGTCTTCAGGACCCGCCCGAGGAGCCCGGGGCAGGGCTGGGCCCCGGCTGTGCCCTCCAGGGGGCTGGGCGGGGGTGCCTGGCACCCTGGCCCGCGGGGTGCGCCCTCACACACCGGGCGCGGCCGGGCGCTCTCGCTCCCGCTCCGAATGACTCAGTGGAGTCGGGTCCAATCCAGGCGGCCCCGGCTCTGCGCGAGGCCCAGGCCCCGCGCCCCCTCCTCGCCCGGCCTGCGGGTTCCCTCAACCCTCTCGCGCAGCCTGGGACGAGCCTGCAAGGGCGGGATCAGGAAAACCCAGGTCTAACCTCCAGCCTCGGTGATGTGGCCAGGAGGCTCCAGCGATGCTGGGGCTGTTGGGCGGCCCCAGCCCGTCTCCACGGGGCTCCCGGGAGCAGCGCTGCGCGGGGACCAGGCCGCGGACCCGACTCCAGCCGGGCCCAGGCGGGCGCCCCGCAGGCTGCTCTGCGCACGGCAGGGCGCCCCGGCCAAGGAAAACCCACCAGCCCCCCGCCCCAGCGGCGGCCCTGGGAGGGCCCGCGGGGGCCGCTCGGGACCGGACCGAGCTCTCCCGGACCGACCGGTGGTCGCTTCTCGGAACACGGGACCTCGTCACACACTGGTGGGGCCCCGAGTCCCGGGCCCCAGGCACTTAGGAAGCAGCGCACCCCTGTCACCCCTTCCTGGGGTCCCGCTGGGCCGGGCCGGGGCTGCCAGAGGCCGAGGCCGAGGACGCGGTCACCCCGAGCCCCGGGCCGGCGGGGGGGCGCGCCCCGGCCATGGGGTCTCCAAACACCGCAGTTTCGCCTGCGGGGCCCAGGCGAGGGACGCGCCTGCCTGTCCACGGGGAGCCACCCCACGGCCCCCCAAGACCCCGGGGCGGGGCGGTGGGGCCCAGTGAGCCCCGCAGCTCCCCGTTTACCGCCGTCCTGTCGGGTGGCCCGCCTGTCGCTGCGCCCGCGCGCCCCGAGGAGGAGGACCCCGTCCGCGCAACCCCAGGCTCGGCTCGGGCAGGCGCCGGGTCCACCTGGCCCATGAGTCCGGGGGACGAGCAGGGCTCCCCGAGGCCAGGCCTGGCCCGCCCACGCGCAGCACGGAGACCAGGAGGCCCCTCGCCGCCCAGAAAGCCCGACCTCGCCAGCAAGGAGGGGCCCCTGTCCCTGCGGCCGGGCCCTTGGCAGCCAGACCCTCCACTCCCGCCCCGGCGCCCCTCCTGGCCCAGGAGCCCAGAGGCTCCCTCCGTGGGGAAGGCGCTTTCTGGGCCTGCAGGCCCCGCTCACCCAGCCCCTCCGCGGGAGGCCTGCCGGGGACACCCCCGCCCGCCCGCACCCAACTGTCCCGCCTGAGCAGCCGCGGGGCCCGGGGCCAGGGCTCCAGGGCTCCCGGGCTCCAGGGCTCCGGGGCTCCCGGGCTCCGGGCTCTGGGGTTCCGGGGATCCAGGTCTCTAGGTCTCCGGGGCTCCGGGGCTCCAGGGCTCCAGGTCTCTAGGGCTCCAGGGCTCCGGGGCTCCGGGGTTCCGGGGATCCAGGTCTCTAGGGCTCCGGGGCTCCAGGGCTCCATGTCTCTAGGGCTCCAGGGCTCCGGGGCTCCGGGGCTCCGGGGCTCCAGGGCTCCCGGGCTCCGGGGCTCCGGGGCTCCGGGGCTCCGGGGCTCCGGGGCTCCAGGGCTCCCGGGCTCCGGGGCTCCAGGGCTCCCGGGCTCCGGGGCTCCGGGGCTCCGGGGCTCCGGGCTCCGGGGCTCCGGGGCTCCAGGGCTCCCGGGCTCCGGGGCTCCGGGGCTCCGGGGCTCTGGGGCTCCGGGGCTCCAGGGCTCCAGGGCTCCGGGGCTCCGGGGCTCCAGGGCTCCGGGGCTCCGGGGCTCCGGGGCTCCAGGGCTCCAGGGCTCCGAGCCCCCGCGAGTGTCTGTCGAGCTCACACCGACGTTCTTGCTTCTTTTCTCCAACCAAGCGAACTTCTCTCAAGAGCCAGATTCTGCGTCCAGTGAAAACCGGCCGCGCAGGCCTCGCGGCGCCCACCGGCTCCCGCGCCGCCGCCGGGAAGACGCGGTGAACCCCGACTCCCTTCTGCCGTCGTTTTCAAAGCAGCGAAAATATACCGGATTTCGTCTGTTGATGGCCTTAAGAACTTACTAGAACTTATTCAAAACGCCGAGTCATGAGCAGCCGCCAGAGCAGTTGCTATTCACACCGGGCAAGGCAATGCCCAAGGATTCCGGGGGAGCATCAGGCGTCCCCGGCCGCAGTGAGGTCGCTCATCAGAACTGAAAACGCACACAGAGGGCTGTGCGCGCGGCTCCACCTGACCATGTGCTGCGCGTGAGGTCCTGCGACCTGCCGAGGGCACAGCAGCCTCCCCTGCTCCACAGGATACAAAGGCGCAACCTGGTGCAGCACATTGCCCCGCTGTACCTCACCACTCCCGCCCCGCCCGGTCGCCACTTGTTCGTTCGCCACCTGGGAAAACTACCTTGAGAGTGAGTTATGTCCTTGGCCAGATTTATCAGCCAGTCCCACGGAGACACACTAGACTCAGCATGCGCCCCTCACCGCGCTGCCTCTAAGTGACCTCGGGAAAGGCAGGCCCACGCAGCGCTACGCTCCACCCTGCGTCCTGTCATCCTGCAGATCATCACAGGACGCCCCAAACCGGCCTGCAGACGACGGCAGCCTTTGTGATGACTCTGGCAGCTGAGCAGGAACGCCTCAAGGTGTCCCCACCCCAACCCCTACACAGCGAGAGGGCACTGCAGATGTGATTACACTAGGGAGCCTGAGATGGGGGGATCAGGGGGGCGGGTCCCTAAGTGTGACCACAAGTGTTCTTACAACAGGGAGGCGGACGACAGCAAAGAAGGCAGAGTGACCACTGAGGCAGACTGTGAGGAGGGGCCAGGAGCCAAGCAAGAGCTTGGAGAAGTGGGAGAAAATTCTCCACTGGTGCTTCCAGAGTGAACCAGTCCTGCTACGACACCTCGATCTTAACTCCTTAAAACTCAGCTTTGACATGTGGCCACTAGAACTATAAGATAACAAACTTGTGCTATTTTAAGCCTCCAAACTAGTGGTGATTTGGTTCTAAGAGCGGCAGCAGCAATACAGCCACTGTGCCACGCCTCAGCCCCGGATGGGATCACTGAAAAAAGAGTTCTCGAAGTTATGGTGCTGCTTGTGTTCTGAAAATACCACTTTTGTGACCAAGAACATGAAATTATTTCAAAGTATGCTATCATTGGTAGTTTATTTATTTTTTTTAAAGATTTATTTATGCATACAAGAACTGGGGTACAGGCCAGAGGTGTGGGGATGAGAGGATTCACCAGAGACAGAGTGGGGAACAGAACAGGCAGACTGACTGAAATCCACTGCTGAGGGGAGCAGCGGGGAGACAGGAGAGGTCTGCTGCGCCCTGTGGGTCAGCAACCTGGCCGGGGATGGAACTCATGCCGCAGGGGCTGCGAACAGCTTCCTAGGTTGCATCTTAACCCCTTGTGCCACCAGGGAGGCCCACCACTGGTAATTTATTGACATAATTTGTCACAACCGTATAATCAGGTCTGCATGTATTCCAGGGACACATCTATCATTTCCTTAAGGCTGTTCATAACAACTACTGCACTTCTGTGTTCCCAAAACAGTACATGCTTAATACTGAAGATCTGGAAACACAGAAAACCACAATTAAAAAAATTCCCACAACTCAGAGACACTACATTGAGGTCTACTCTACTTCCTGATATTTTACAGGGGAAAATGACAACACTACCGAATTTCCAGCCATGGTAACTAAGCTCGTACATTAATACTTTAAAAAAATCTTCTTAACTATTAAAGAATTCACATATATTTATCAGTCTTACGTCGTTAATGTTAACTACCCTGTTATCATCATTGCTGGAGGACAAAGGTAAAAATCAAGTCACCTCCAGAAACCTGACCTCTAACACATCCCCACCCCTTCCATAACTAACTCACCTGAGTAATTCGTATTCCATTGGGCATAAGATGATTAAATTGGCTGCAGCAGCCAGAAGGGATTTTTAACAAATTCATACACAAAGAATTGTGACAACTATGACTGAATCCAGTGGAGAAGTTCCTTAGATGTGAGACCCTAATTAAAATTATTCCAGAACTTCACTTGCCAAAATAAATGAGTTATAAAAGGCTGCAGTGCCCAAAAACCACCAGGGCATAAAGGCCAAGACATAGCCCCATGCAGAAGTCTTGCTTCATTCTCTAAACTCAAGATTATTTAGTGACTTCCTTGGAATAAAGTTGCTGGGGAAAAGCAATACACCTGGTAGAAACTCTGCAGACAGTGAGAACTGCAGATGCCACACACATTCACAAACACAGGCAATGAGAACAAAGGAAACTCCAGAGACTACCAAAGTCAAGGAAGAAACTCCCTTACCTACAACTGGAAATTGCTGAAATTTAGAAATTTCACCAATTTCGAAATGGAGTGGGAAGCAAATGTCAGACTTCCCCTATATATGACTTTCTATTTGAATCACCTAATTATGTCTAAATCAACTGTTCGATAAAACACATCCGATTCCCACTCAATATTATGAATTTAAGCATCTTCATTTAAAAACATCTCTAGACACGGCACACATAATTTCCCAGACTTGGGGAATGCAAACTGACTGTGCCATCTATGTTTGGGGCTCAGGCCATCTATGTTTGGGGCCTCAAAGAATGCGGCCCCAGCTGTGCTCCCATCTGCACCTCTTGCTCCAAGGCCAACAGAAGAGAGGAGCAGACCCCAAGCCAGAGCTCAAGAGCAAAGAGAGGAACTTGGGCATAAAGAATTACTCTGAAATCTTTATTTTTCCAGGCAGGGAGCCTGACTCATGCTCTGTCCTCAAGCCAACCCAAAATTCATCACTCCCCAAAACTCTGGCTCCGGGAAAGTAAGGTGGTAATCAGACAGGATTCCTCTGAGAGCACAACGTAGAGGCTGGAGCTACAAAGCATCTCCCTGTAGGAGACACGTGGTTCCTGCCTGTGGGGTCCATTATTCCATCAGGACCCTCAGACACACAATCAACAGTCAGCGCCGGGTGGGGGGCGAGGAAAGAGCTCACCTCTTCACTGCTCAGACAGCAGCTGCTCCTCCCGCTACAAATGAAATGCTAAAATCTCAGCTTCAAAGAAAGTCAAGGAAATGTGGGAAAGAAAATAAAAAGAAAGATGAGAAGTGGGGACACGCAGGTAGAGGCCACAGCAAAGGGTCTTCTCGGAAACACAGATGTCACGGCCAGCCAGTCCCAGCCCTCCCCGCGGCCTGCACAGAGGGCGCCTCGCGCTCGAACTGCTCTTCCCATGTGCTGAAAAGCGCATCTACTCTGTACGATGCACTGATAGAACCACTCTGTAGTCACCACGGGCTCTGTCTCTAGCATCTTACTTACTCATGGAAACCCCACAGACAGTTAATAATTGCAAAGATGGTGCAGTCACCAACTACGTAAATAATAAAAATGTCTCAATTGGAGTTTCGGTATCAGTTCCCTAAGCTCTGGTTCCCCCCCCACCCCGACCCCCCAGTCCAGGAGGATGGCGTGGGCGTGGAGGGAAGTGGAGGATGTTATCTTCTGGACACAGTGACTTTGGGCTCTTCGGTGCTAAGGGTGCTGATGCTAACTTTGGACAGGGAGACCTTAGTTTAGTCTTACAATAAAGTTGAAGAAATCATCAAGAAGCCATCCATACTCTTAAAAGTCCAAACACCTGTCCTGGGGTTCTCAGTAGCTGGTGGACATTCTTGTCACTGGCTGCTGAAAGGCAGCCACCCTGCATGGCTCTGGGAGAGCTTCAGCAGCTCTGGCTCCTGCAACACCAACCTTCCGCTCAGTGCAGAAACAGGAAATAGAATCCTTGGTGTCGGGTGCCACACATTACAGGAGCAGATGCAGACTACTTTAGGGGGACAATGATTCCCCAGACTCCACAGCCGCCCTCTCCAGCGCCTCCCTGGATAAACTACGTCAGGACACTTAGGGTTAGGACTGCAGGCCTGTGGCTCTGTACACCTCCCGCTCTCTGGATAAACCTCTATCAGGACTCTGGGGGTTAGGGCCGCAGGCCTGTGGCTCATACACCTCCCGCTCTCTGAGCAAGGACCTGGCAAAGTGGCTTTAAGGAGGAGCTAATGCTCCGAATGAGAAGCTGACACCCAGGTGGCTATTTTAAGGAAGACCTTCTCTAAAGTGAGTGTCACTTGAAACTGGTCTTGAAGGACAAACAATAGCTTCCAGGTGCACAATGGGGAGAGGGCGATCAAAGCTAAGACAACAACCCAGGAGACATGAAAAGTCACAGGGGGTGTGTGTGTGCTCACACATTCACACGTCTTTCCAATGACCCTGCTTCTGCTGGGCAGAGGGCAAATCCTTACCCCAAATATGTGTCTTATCAGTCCAAACAGAGGGCAAGCTCATCTGGTCTCCTCCACATTTCCCCGTGTCCCTTCCGCACAGGGACTAGGTAGATGCTTACCACCCACCTGGATCCCCCCATACAGCACCGCCTGATCTCGCAGCTCAGAAAGACCTGACGCTCTGTTGTGAAACAGCTATTCATCCGAGGAAGAGAGTGTTCTATCTTGTGAGGGTGAGCTATCAGGATTAACCTGGTAGAGGCCGAGATAATGAGGGGTGCAGGCCTGGGGAGACAGACATATCACCACGATTCTTCTACCCCAGATTCTCCCCTCAGAGACAAAGAAAATAAGCCAGAGCGGAGAGCTGCCACACAAGTCAGCCTCCTGCCACAAAAATCTCTTTCTTTAATATTACATAACTTAAGCGAGAAACCATTCAGATCACTACAAAGAAACATTTAAAATGAGCTCATTAAATGCAAATTAAAACAGAAACACTGAACAAGCACCGGGCCACAATTAAAGGCTGAAGAAATAGGAGGTAAGAACAATTTTCACGATCAAAGAAATAAAAGCTAGCAGAAGAAAGTATTCTGCACTGAAACTGCCTTCATGAATACAAAGCATTTCGAAGAATTTTTTTTTTTTTTTTGCACTTTTCAAAGCAGCTTTGGAGGTAGAAATGGATTTGCATATCTTAATACAAAGTTCTTTTAAGCAACGGAGTTATAAGGTTTCTTTCTCAAAAAAAAAATGCAGACTCAAAAACAGCCTTAGAAATAGTCCAGAACTGATAAGGGCATAAGGTTATCATTTTAGATGGACTCAAAGAAGAACTACATATAATTACATGAAACCTATGCAAAACTTCAGAACTTCTGTGGCACAGTCAATCGTACCTCATTATAACAGAAGTTTTTAGAATCTATCCTGGGTACTCACACTCGGGGCAAATAGTAGTGCACAGTATATTCTGCTAGAAATGGGATTTCTGAGACTTTAAAATTCACCACACACACACAAGATTTAAAGCAAACAGGTAGGCATGTGGGCAGTCAGGCAGGCTGTATGTCCACCGTGGCAGGGCACCGGTGTCTGCGCATTGCTGGCACCAAGACAAGTCCTGGGCACCAACTGTGGATTGACTTTCTTGAAAATAAAGCTTATGAAATGAAAAGTGGGAGGGTTTTTGTTTTTTTTCTCTCATAAATTCACTAAAACTTACTTTTTTCATCTCTCAGGAAGGCAAAAAATGTATTTTACAGAACACAGGGAACTCTGTGAGGGAGGGCAGGGCGCCAAGGACAGCTGTGTAGCTTGGGCACTGCTCAGAGGCACTAACCTTGGGGCGAGCGTGGGGGATCTGCAAGGGAGGGAAGGGTGAGGGGACATCCAGCACCCTGCTGGGCGAAGCAGTGTCCTCAGAAGGTGCCCTTCCACAATTTCTTAGCCCAGAAGGGCAGGGATGCTCTTCCCTACCTCGCTGTGTTAGACAGAAGGGTAAAGTGGGGTGACTTGTTTTAGAACCAGTTGGAAACACCTGGCAAAATCCAAAATCTACAAATTTTTGACCAGAAAGTATAATGGACTTTATATAAATCCTTATATAGGCAGCGAAGTCATGGATACAAACATCCCAGATCCTAGCAACTGTCTGTACACCTACTGGGTGCTCATCTATTGGAGAATAGTTGCATAATTTGTATACATCCATAAAATAAAAGACTAGGAGGAATTACTGGGGGGGTAGATCTGTACATGCACATATGTAAGTTACCTAAGAGAGCAAGTTGACCAAGGAGAGGAAAACTATATTCTGATTACTGTTTGTATTAATCAACCAAAAATCTTTCAAACATATGATACTGAATTTGAATTTTGACTATTGGCAGTATACTATATCTCTATATCATCTATATCTAACTTATCTAAATGTATTAAAGCACATGGATTATATAATCAGTGTGCTTTAATATTTCATACTACACAAATGCCTAAATCCAGTTCTAAAGGATATTTAGAATAGTACACAAAATCACTATTAAAATTCAGTGTCATACACAAAGACCGCTCATTTAAAAAAGGGAAAATGTATCTTCATGGAGGCGCCAAAAATTACACCTTCTGAGTTTTCTCAGATGGTTCTACTCTGCTATAATACTATCTCGAAGTTCTCCATACTTTTCACCAAGTCACGATTTTTCCAGCTTCAATTAAATTATGGTTCTGAAGCTGTCTGGGTCCGGGCATTAACATCTCAGTCCTACAGCAGATGGGAGACACAAGCGCTCTGGAACAGCCTCCCTGTCGAGGAGGGAACACTGGGGGCTGGAGAAAGCACAGGGAGTGTAGTTTTGACAGTGAGGTAAGTCAATGCCCTTGACTTCCTTCTACCAAGGTACCCATTTGTGTGTGTGTTTTCCTCAAAAATGAGTCGGAGCTTACACAGCGTGGAAGAGTGCCACTTGTATGTAAGAGGGTCTAGCCATGAAGGGCAGCACAGGCATAAAAAAGGCGAGGTCTAGGCTGTGATCACCTTTAACAGTAAAAACAATTCCCAGATACTGACTCAGGTGACTCAGGCCGAGCCCCCTCCGCGCCGCCTCTCCCTGGAGCTGTCCAGTGCGGCCAAGTCCACGAGGGCCCATTAAGGCTTTTATCACACCGCGCCCACTGGCAGACCCGGCGGTGCAACCCGCGGTATGAAACAACCCCCTGCACACCCTGCACGTGGTTTTCACAGGTAACTACCTCTCCTGCCCAGGGGGAGGATGTGGTTATTCACGCTATAGTCAATACTCCTGTGCACCGTGGGAAGCAATGGTTGGCACAGGAGAAAGAATAAAAAGGGCCAGGTGGTTCTCCAGGTCCCTGCTGTCAAGTCATCCCATCTGGGCAAGCCACACCCGAGCCCAGGTGCGCGGGTGCAACGGGGCTGCAGGGGCGCCCCCGGGGACACCCCGGAGAAGCGCCCAGCCTTCAGGCTCCACGGCCCGTCCGGCCGCCCCCGACAGCACCGCGCGCCCCACGGGTGCCCAGGGACGGGCGCGCAGCAACCGGGGCGTGCGCGAGTTGGCGCCCGCGGAGGCCCCTCCGGCCGTCTCCCCCGGGAGGGCGCCCGCCCGGTCTTGGGGGGCTCCTTCCCCGCGTCGCCGTCGGTCCCGCCCCTCGGGGCGCGATTCCCGAGGGGACCTGCGGGATCCGCGGGCGCGCCCCGTCCTCACGGGGGTCCCCGCGCGCGGCCCGCGCGCCCACGTGGGCGGCGGGTAGGGGGCGGGCCGGGCCTCCCGGCGCGGGGCCGCGGACACACGCCCGCCGCCGGCGGTTGGCACCTGCGGTGGCACCTGCGGTGGCACCTGCGGTGGCACCTGCGGGCACCGCGGTCCGCGCGCCGCGGCCGGCGAGGCCCACGGCCGGGCATGGCGGCGCGGAGGCCGTGCCCGGCGGGCACCACGTACCTAGCATGGTCTCGGCGGGCGGCGGCGGCGGGCGGCGGGGCCTCTGCGCGCACCCGCCCGCCCGCGCCTCCCACGGGGCGCTCGGGGTCCCCCGCCCCCAGCGCCGGCCCCGCCGCCCCGGCCCGCGCGCGGCCTTCTGGGAGTCGTAGTTCCCCGCGTCCTTCTGCGCGCGCCGCGCTTCCGGCCGGCGGCCCGGGAAACACGCGTCACGGGGGCGGGGCCACCCGGGCGCAGTGTTGACGCGTCGCCTAGCAACCAGGAAGCTCGCCTTTGGAAGCTTGTTGCCGCTCTCGCCGAGGTCCTGCCCGCGGCCCGCCCCTCCTTCCCGCAGGTCCCTCACCTGGAGCCGCCGCACACCTGGCGCGACCCGGGCGCCCGAGGGGCTGAATTCTACCTCAGGCGGTTTTTGTTACAGTGTCTTCCCGACCTCCTGTCCACATCCGTAAAACCCAGTGACTCGCTCACGACACGTTTTATGAGAACAAGACATTTCCTAGGAAGATGGTGGCAGAAAAAGAGACCCTGAGCATAAGCAAATGCCCAGACAAGATGCCGAAGAGGACCAAGCTGCTGGCACAACAGTCGCTCCCGGCACACCCGCCTCACTCCCTGGTCTCTGAGGGCTTCACAGTCAAAGCCATGATGAAAAACTCAGTCGTAAGTGACCCCCCCGGCCCCGCGCGCGCCCCGAGGCGGGGGCGCCGGGGGGCAGAGCCGGCTGGCCCCGGGACGGAGGCTGCACCCACGTCCTGCGGGGTGTTTGCCAAAAACTCAGCCAGTTGCAGACGGTGGCGACCAGCGAGGAGGTCAGGCTAGTCTGTCAGAGGGACCTTGGGCTGGTGAGGAGCGATGCCCACATCAAGCGCCCTCCTCCTAGGTCCTGGTTTCCAGACCACCCCAAATTACTCTTAAGCTAGTTACCCAAAGATTTAAAAAAAAAAAAACAAAAAAAACTTTAGGTATTTATTCCTAAACTAACCCCATTGCAGCAAAGGCCTCTACAGTGAGTTTTTAGAAAACATAAACTCTCAGAATTTGACATGTGCTGCTGGACAGAGGCGCACATAAATTCAATAAGTATTCCACAATAAGAATTCTAATTTAACCTAGTAAATGTCGGAGATCCTAGAATTTAAGGTAACAACTCTTTGTTACAAAGTGAGATCAGCTTGTAAGAGTCGAGCAATGCTACTTCATAGGAAGTGTATTTCCAGATAGATCTTTTATGTGTATTTGTATTTCAGTTCTATTATGGTAGTAAAAATAAAATAGCCCCAATACCATTTGGAGGGGAAAAGGGTTTAAAATGCACACAAATGGTTTAGCTACATGCGTGATTTAAAAAAATTAAGGGCTCCTATTCATTAAACAGCTTTAAATTTGTATTCTAAATCAGAATTTGCTATTGAGTAAGCACCTGTCTGGGAGCGAGAGATTAAATAATAAATGCAGTTTTCAAATTTGCATAACTTAACACTCTGGGAGGATCTGACTTATTGTATAGCAACTCATTATGTTAAATGTACAACGTTACTATCCAGTGTCACATTATTTGCTCTCATAAATGTTGCAAACCTCATACTTTATTCCTAAACCACATTCTTAAAATACAAGGATGAAACCGATTACCTCTTCGCCACTAGCCATAAACCCATGTTGCTATACATAAGGATCTTCTGGTTATTGGAATGTGTGACACTTGATTTAAATATCCTGGAAATCAACTGAAACTCCTACTTATTGTAGCCACAGTCCTATTGCATGTACTTCACATTAGGAGGTGGCCTTGAGAGTCACAATGACTTGTTCATCATCAACATATAGTACAGAATACTATATATTTACACTCTAGTATAAATACTAGAACCATTCAAGCTAATTACTTGTTTTTCTTCTACACAATGTCTATGATTACAAACTTGATGAGGTTTTTCAATGTTATTTTTCTTTACAGATGTAAAATATTGGTCAGCTTCTTTTTTTTTTTTTGCTAAGCCTATTTAGAAAAAAACATGATTCATAATCATGTTTATATTTCAACACAGCTTTATACCTAAAGTTATTGATTGTTCTGGAAAATCAAGGATTTCAGTAATGTCAAGTATGTTAAATATGCGTAAAAGACTCAAAGCATAGCAATGATGATGAAGCAGCCTTCTTTATAAACAATTAATTGAAAGAAATTATATTCCTATTTCCACATTTTTAAGGAATGTCTCTTAGTATAATATCTGCTTCTTTATTGAGATCTTAAAAATAGGCCATTCTTTCATAATCCAGAAATCATAATTCCTGGGTGCAAACATTATTCATCCACCCATCTACCGATCCATCCACCTACCCAATCAACCAACAACAGTTTTCTTTCTTAGGCTATAGTTAACAACTAACTAAACATAGTTCTGAGGACTTGGACTCATCAAGACATTCCTTGTCCTTGGTATGATAAGGAAAAGACAATACCATTTTGTAAATTAACGTCAGTGGCATCGGTATTACAGCCCTTCCTTTTCATAGCCAATATTTACATTTCACCATTTCTGTCCTTAACTGTGTAGACCTTTTGTCGTTAAAAAGTCAAAATATTTTTACCTTTTCCTTAAGGTTTCTTTCTATTCAGAAAATATTATGCCAGCATCAACTTCTCTTGACGATAAACCATTTTCTAGTGTTTGAATTCCAGTTTAGTTCCTTCTTTCAAATATTTCCACATTCAATAAGTCAGCCTTCCAGGGCTCTCCCACAAATGACATAAGAATACATCGTGTATTGAGACGCCCATGCTTCTTTGCGTGTGCTTTAGTAATGTAAGTGCACCGACTTGATCATTAACAGACTTGGTCAGACTGGACCAGGTGGCAAGCTGAACTCCTATTTCAACAGTCACCTGTGTATGAGAAAGCAAAATTATTTATGAAATAATGATGAACTTAAATGGGCAGTTTTTATATCTCAATGTATAATGTTGGTCTTCATTAGTAAGCAGTTGCTTTGCTTCCTTGAAGTTCTTGAGACTGTTGCTGTGTTCTCTGTGAAACAAACAATGACAAAATTCCTACCACCAGAGAATGAAATTAATGTTCATATTGTTGTAATGTTTGGCTTAAAAGAATCGGAAGGTTGCACAGTTCTTTTTCCCTTTAAAGACACTGTTTGTGGTACGGCGGAGATGATAACCAGCTAAGTTAGGGTACCGACCCAAGTTTCTGATGATAGAGAAATTGCCTTCAACTTAAGCTTTATATAGCACAGCCCGAGTGTTAAGCGAATGGGGGAAATAATTCCATATATACTATTACTCTATTTATGTAGAAACATTTACACTCACCAGTCATACAGTCATTCAACACAAAGTGGTAATGATCAATATTTGTAAATTAAATGTTAAGATACTGATTTGGTCGCCTTGTCCGAGATCAAGTAATGATAGAAACTAAGATGGAAGCTGTTCTCTCACATGGGAAGGCAGGTTTGTAGGCCACCCAGGAAGGAGGTTGGGCTTTGCTTCCCCATGAGATAGGTCCAGGGACCTGGGGGCCTTGTGCGGTTTTGCTTTTTATCCTGTAGGGTGATGCTCTGGGGTGGGGCGACCCCCTGCCGCCGGGGTCAAAGTCCTCCCCCAGGGAGGAGGAAGAGGCAGCAGAGGCCTCCAGTGATGGTGCGGCCCAGGCGCTGCCCCTTCAGTCACCTGCAGGCCTCTGCTCTCCCCTCTCGCCCAAGCCGGCCGGAGTCTGGCCCTTGAAGCAACTCGTGCGCCCTCGCCCCGTCCAGGAAAAGGGCCCCTCGAGGTCCAGCTTCCAGTGGTCTGCTGCGGGGGTTAGTTCTGAGAAGGAGGGGGCCTCGAGGCCGGCCCGCCTGGAGCCCTGCTCGCCTCTGGCCCGGGGCTGCGGCTGCCCGGCTGGCCAGTGGACTCGCAGGGCTGCTCGGCGCGTTTCCAGCAGAGCAGCCTCCTCTGACCCTCAGGGCCGGGGGCATCCGCAAGCTCGCGGAGGGCAGTGCTGTTTGCTCCGTGCGCGCAGCCGACACTGTGGTTCTTAATTTTGCACTTTTGTTGTTCCCGCGGGCAGAGAAGGCGCGCTCAGTGTGGGCTTCCTGTTTAATTTTTGTGACTAATGGAGTTAAAAATTCTGTAAAATGCCTATTGAGCATTTGGTATCCTCTTTGGTGAGGTGACTTTTCAAGACCTTTTACCTGTTTTCTCTTGTCTGGATTTGGCTTATTTGAAGTCCTTTTTATTTTATTTTATTTTATTTTATTTTATTTTATTCTTTTTATTTTATTTTATTTTAATTTTATTTTATTTTATATAAGGCACTTGTAAAAACATGTATCACAAGTACAGTTTCCCACTCTGTGGGTATCTTTCCATTCTCTTATTGAGGACTTTCATCCCTCTCTTATTAAAATATATACTTTGTGGGGAAGAAATAATTATGTCACATTTTATTGATGCAATTATTTATAATGTGTTTCTTGGCCAATTTAATTGTCTGGCCTTGAAATGCATATACATTAAAACAAGACTTGGAAAATACATTGATCAGAACCGCAATAGAATGGGCAATAGTGAAACAATGAAATAAAATGTAATTAAAGTAAAAAGCCTGAGCTAAAGAAAAGGAGAATCAATCTTGCCATTTGTAAGGGTCAGTATAATGTATTGATTGAGGTTCAGATTTAATTCTGAGCTTCTTGGCATCTGTTGCCAAAAGTGGAACATGACGCAGTTCTCATCACAGAAGTAGCCTGCCCATCCCTACAGACTTAATTCCCTACAGAGGATTCCGGCTTTCTCTCAGCTCTCTCTCAGAGAAATTAGTCATGTAGCGTTTTAAATATGTGCAATATAACCATAGCTATATTTTGCTTCTTACAAAATTATAGGAAATTTCATCCATAAACGACTTCACTAAGACCACCAAGTAGTCGACAGTAAAATGGTTCTTGAGGAACTGGATTTGGATGGGATTAAACTGATGAGCACACTGTGCAGTCTTGCGGTGGTCCAGTGTGATCTAAAACCAGAAATCACAGTGCCCGGGGGCTGTTAGCTCTAGTAGTTCTCAGCTCTCTTGACAGGAACAGGAGGCCACTGTTCTTATCAGGGTGGGGGAGGAAGTGTGTGATGCTGACAGTCCCAGATAGAGGCAGGATCTGGGAAGGCATCACAGAGGGAACCATGTTTGCTGAAATAGAAAAGATGAGGGAGACAAAGAAGATTAGGGGCGGTGGGCAAAGGCTCTGAGATACTGTAGTCCAGTCTTCCTGCTCATTCTGTTTACGATCTTTATTTTCTACATTTTTTGCCAAAATTAATTATGTCATAAATTATATTAATTAAATGCATGTTTAAAATCCTTCAAATTGCAGACATTTTTATAGGCAAATATATATGTACTTATGAATAGTATATGTATATTTATACACGTATGTTCATATACCTCGCATATTTTGTATTGTATATGATTATAATCTGTGTGAAACTTTATGGGTTTGTTCTAACATGCTAATAATTTATATATCATTGAAAGCTTTTTTTTAAAAAAAGATTTATTTATTTATGCACACGAGAACTGAGGTACAGTCCAGAGGTGCGGGGTGTGAGAGGATTCACCAGAGAGTAGGGAACAGAACAGGCGGATTGACTGAAATACACT